TAATCATTCACCTTCCAGGCACTGCCTTTTTGTCAGATATATCGTGAATACCTTCCCCTTTTATTCTCAAAACTTAAATAGAACATTTTAAAAATATATCTTAGTTTGGGGTAGCAGATAAACCCTAGACAAGAGAGAGAATATATTTTAAGTTTCTTCCAGTTTTATCTGATGCTTCTGATCCGGAACAAGATTCTATTATATTCTCCTCTTATTTACAATTTTCTCGCAGCATAAACAAGCCAACTCCCACAGTGAGTACTTAAAATATTCTTCTACACAGCTCACCGTCTAACTACGAATATTCTCCCCCGCCTAATAAGCGGTTCTGAAGAATATTTTGAACTGATATGGCTGGCAAAGGGCAGTACCACGCCCTCCGAACCGCATCAGAAAATGCTTATGTAAAGTGCGGACTTTGAAACCGTGTCGCGTCAATATTACCGATTCATTATGATGACTTAATGATGGCTCGACAACCCCACTGGCAGGTCCCTGAAGGACTTCAAGACACAATTGTCAAGAAACTCATACCGCATTAGATGAATGGATTGCGTGTGGTCCAACTGGAGCTCGTTTCTGCCATTCTGGATGGAGAGAGCATGCTGTGCTATACTGCCACTGGCAACAGAAAATCATGTTCTCGGTCCCGGCTCTTGTGCTTTTGGAGTATAACGAACACTCGAAGGCGTATATAGCTGGGCTTCCAACTCGGAAGCAGCCAATCGGGGTCGTAATCACACCAAAAAAGGGGCTGGCTGATAACATTGTATGTCTATCAGTGATCTTCCTTGTTCTACTGATGAGTTTCGGCCTAGGTTCATGAACGTCAAGACAGAAAATCTCTGCATTCTCGTACTGCAAAGAGACTTTGAGCACTGCACGGATGGCTGGGATCTGTTTAGCAGGTGAAATCAAGGAGTGTGCGTCGACGAGGTCCATCTGATCAACGAATGGGGTCTTTCTTTTCGTCTAGCCTTTGGGACCATCAGATCTTTTCTACGCGGTCGCTTTCCCTGTTTGATATCTTAGCAACGGCACGTTCCAAGAGCCTCAAGGATCTGATTCCCCAGAGAGGTGGCTGGGAAATCTTTAAAAAGTCGCCAACAGAGTTGAATCCCGAGTCCTTTAGAAACATTTCCATTCTCTCAAACTTGAATATCAGCTTCCGCGCGTTGCTTTGGGAGGTTTGATCAGTCGAGGTTGGCTCGAAGATCCACCAAGGGAGCTCAAATTGTTAAATGGGGAGCCGGAAAATGGAGGTGTAGTAGGTGACGACCCATGTTGGTCATTTTGAGATGTTGGAAGAAGGGAACTCGATGAAGATGGCAGGAAGGGTGTGATGAATGCCGAAGTTTCGGGTATTTCAGGGATTGGTTCTAATTTCTTGTAGGATCTGACAGTTTGAATGTTGCTATACATTAATGTTGAGGTCATAATGAAATATGAATGAAATTTGTGATGGCAGATAGTGTTGAAAAGTTTCAAACGCATCGAGAGTTATGAGGAGGTTCCTCGAAATTGACGCGACGCGGTTTTAAAGTCCGCACTTTACATAAGCATTTTCTGACGCGGTTCGGAGGGCAGACTACTGGTGTTTGTAGTTGCTATTACATAATAGCTATGCTTATGTGATAGCTACGCTTATGTGATAGCTATGCTTATGTTATAGCACGCTTATGTGATAGCAAGTGGCTGTGTAATCTCTGGCTTGCTCGTATACTTTTGCCCTCTCTGCGGCCTTCCACAACATTTTTATATCATGTATTATTGTGCAAATACAAGCTATTACAAAATTTCTATGTATTTTACTGTTCAATTTTCAACTACATTACAATATAACTGTTGGGATAAGAAATTCAACAGGGAAAGAATGTGATTGTCAATTTGACATTTGGATAATTGATCAGTTTTGAATATTAGCTGAAAAAATGTGAGATGAAGTGCCACAGTCATTTGAAATCAGAGGATGGGTAAATCATTCAATGTATGCCTAAACAAAAGAGGTTTCTGGGGTTCTTCCCATTCCTGAAGAAATTAGATTCAAGTCAGCTATGCAACAACTATTGATGCCTGAGCCTTGGGTAAAAAAATGGAACTGATACTTGGGATCGTGTCAAGGTACAAAATATGCTGTTATGTCCATCCTACTGTTGCAGAGAAACAGTTGTTTTTAAAGCTTATGTGTGAGTATCTAGCATTAATCAGGGAAATCCTGACTGCAAAAAAAAGCTGTAATTGTACAGAATTGTAATCATGCAAAGGGAAATGAAAATGATATCTTCTACAAAATATATTCTGTAGTATGGCCTGTGAACATCAAAATGGAGGTGCTTCACATACAGCCCATCAAGCAAAGGATCAATTGCTCCCACCCAAATTTTTTAAAGTAATCCAGGGCTTTATCATTTGGATGTGGATAGTCATTTTCTTGAATCATCACAGGAGAGCATTAATTCAGCCCACACAATATCACTGCTAGCCCATTACAAAATACAGTTTAATTAGCTAATAAAAGGCCTGCACAAGATGTCCTAGCAATTTCAGCTCCCTAATTACCTCCAAAGAGAATCAGAGCAGGAAATGATGCTCTAGGCCAGAATTTGAGGGCAGTAGGGCAGATAAAATTTACTGGAAAATTCCAAACAGAGTAGATTGTGATGGGGGGGATAGCAGGTATCCAAAAGGCCAGTTGTAGGTGGAGATGGAAAGATGGGTCAGTAGTTTATAGCTCATGATTGTAAGATAAGATAAGATAAGAAATATTCCTCTTTTTTTTTTTTTCGCTTTTTCCCTCTTTTTATTTTATTTTATTTTATTTTCTTCTGTAGCAACTACAAACACCAGTACCCTGCCGTTCAGAGGGCACGGTAAAAACAGGACTACGTACAATAGGGCAAACATAGGGGGTACTTCCGTGAGGCGAAGAACTCTTTGCCTCCTATGAAGGTGCTTTGAAAGCGCGTTTTCCCTTCGTGTGTATCTGTGTGTATTCGAACAGTTTTGAACGTCCTAAGTTCCAGAATAAATGGGATCTGAAAACCGTCCGGGAGTCCAGATTTTCAGGGAGTCCATAGAGTCACGCGGAATTGAACGTGACTGCCAAACGTGACCTCTCGCTGGCGAGCGCATTCCCAACCCATTCCTGTCGTCGCTATTTCTCTGCAAATGTCACTCTTTACAAGCTTCACAGGCGGCCTCGAGGATCCTCCAGCCCCATGGCTCGACCCGGCTCTTCATCTCATCTCAGCGCCTGTCGAACCGTTATGCACAGTCGGCCTCCCTCCCCCGCCATCTTCGCAGAAGACAATCAAGGCACGCTGTGTCAAGGCGCCGTGCACTCATGTTGCTGCAGGGTCGTGCAACAACCAAATGTGCAAGGCGTGTTGTGAGAAAGCCGTTGTCGTTTGCTTCTTCAAGAACCACAACCGCGGTCGTCGACCAGTCTCTGTCTCTGACAACCCCGCTCACCTCGCTCGCCCCCTCCCTCAGGAGCCTTTACGTCTGATGACTGCCAGCATTTCCGTATCTCTGGGTCCTGATGTCCTTGCACCTTCAGCTCTTGGCAACACGCCGCCCTTGAAAGAATTGCCTGCTGCTTCAGTTTCTGGGGCTTTTTCTTTCCGGAAACCGGTTCCGCTCGCTCTAGCTGAAGATTACAAACGATGGCGAGAGGAACACGAAGTACGACAACAAGCAGAAGCATCGCGAAATGAAAATGAATGACGGATGAAACATTCTGTCCTCTTAGTTGCATACCTCAACGCTGATGGCCAACCAACTATGCTCCCACTTCAAGACATCAAGACGTGGCCCACCTTGAATCTAAGCCAAATTCCATCTCTCGCTGCGAAACTTGGATTGTCTGATCTCTCTGATCTCAGCCTTTTTGACCCCCAGAACACCATTTGGATACCAACGATGGACCATGCATTGCTGGTGGGCACCAATGACAAAATCTACGTGAGGCGGAAGGAGCTTGTCTCTTGTGGTCCGGCTTCGCGCGCTTTGCTCGAATACCTCTCACCAACCCGTTTTGAACTACCACGGAGCTCTCAGAAGCGCAGGGTCAAAGGTTCTCTGGACAATGGCTCGTCTCCCGCGCGCTCAACTGTCTCTGCGCATAGAGATTACTCTCACGATTATGCGGGACTCTCTTCACCACCTTCCAGTCCATCGCAATCTTCATCTCCACCTCTGCCACCTACCAACTGTGCCGTCGATGACAATTCCGGCACCCCTCACAACCCTGATCTCAAATGGGAATTTGGGACAGTACCAACTCCAAAGGGAGCGGCTGTCGTCTGGCCACAGGGAATGTATGCTCGCGATATGGCGAAAGGGTTTGATCTACTAACGATCCGAGAACCCGGAGAGACTGTTGCCTCGCGATTTTTACAGGTCTTTCTTGGAATGGTTTGGAAGGAGTCGACATACCACAAGAATAGAAAATTCTGGCTCGGCCTCTCGGAGAGCACTCGACAATAGGCACGGAAGCTACCGCGTACAAAGGAAGGGTTATGGACTGTCTGGCGTAAGGCACAGCCAACGTGGGGTTGATCCTCTCCTCCTCTCTTCTATTTTAGTTGTCATTTAGATCGCTTTGTCAAATTTTGGTTATGTAGTTTGTTTTAATACATCTCGAAATACTGGTAACAACCGTTTGGTTAAGAATTACATCTGAGATCTGGAATATAGCCTGGAAGGCAACCATTGCGTTCTAGCTTTGTTTTCAATAGCCTGTTCTTCCTCATGATCAACTCGTCCAGCAAGAATTCGTACCGGTCTGCATTCATCTCACGTAGAATAGCATGATACCCACCTAGCCATACATTCAGCTGCTCGCATTTTGAGGAGTTGAAATACCATGTTCCGTCAACGTTGATGAGCTCGGGAATTTTTCGGGGGTTGCAGTGCTCTTGACAAATGATGTCGGTCTTTTTGTGTGTGCAATCAAAGTGAAATACATCGACAGGAAATCCTACAACCTTGAGGAGTGGGTCATTCGTCGATTGAAGGTGGTTGTATACCCCACAACAGTTGTCATAGATGAAATAATCGGGCATCGATCCTGGTGCACGGAAAACTTGCTTTAGCATTGCCTATAGCCATGGGGGTCAGTTGAACAGCTTAGAAGTGTGAGAAGAAAGAAAGTAGTATTACCACAGTTTGTGGAACAGTCTCGGAGCCATAGAATGTTGCGCGTGCAACAATCATTCCACAGGGTCGCACAATGAGTTGTTCATTGTGCGTTTGCCGGCGTCCGAAGCGAGCGCGAAGACGTCGGTTACCTGTGGTTGGTTTTTGAGGACAGGTAAGTTCAACTTCTTCAATCCCCTCGTCTGGTGCAACTCCGATTGGAGGTCCTCAACAACGGCTTCATCTGGTGGATTTGACACGGTGGTTCGTTCAAGACGGCTCTTGAGTTGGAAGTTGGCACCGCTCCGCTTCCGATAGCTCTTGAATAGTATGAGATGCTCACGATCATCGCACGTAAGGTTGCCCTCAAGCACCGCTTTGTCGCAACCCTCCACTGAACAAATTTTCTCGAGGTGCTCGTGTCCTGGGCAAAATCGATCATGCTTGCTTGTAAGAGGTTCTGTACAATGGGCAACAGTGCAACATGGATGCCCGATTGTAATTCCGTCACTGACAACAGCCCTAATCATCTCTAGACTCCAGAGTTGATAACGAACTATCAACTCATAAATAAAAGCTCACCACTAGGATTTCCGTCTTCATCAAAATAGAAACGGACACAGTTCTCACAGTAATGCGCCCACTCTGGCTGCCCGTTCTCAGCGAATAATCTATTCCTCGTCTTGATATGCTCTGCAAGCCGATCCCTTTGGTCAGATCCATGGGCCACCATTAAGGTTTCTTGTTCCCGCTCAACGTGTTCGAGAATGGCAAGATGGCTTATGCCACTCCAGATATGCTCGTGGCAAAGATTAAAGCTGAATGGCCATTCAGACGGCTGGTTTTCAGGCCTTGCAAGGGATGTATTATAAATCTCCGCGCAGTTCGATGCAGACGTCCTAAATTCGACGATTAGCTCAAACGTGAGTGAGTGGAAACCTTAACCAATTACCACGATCTGAGCATGAGGTTAATAAACATATTGAGAACTCCACGTGAAACGAATTGATGTTTCCCGACCTCAATAGTTTCTGGCACCCCTGGATAGTATGTGCGGACTCGGTTGAAGACTGAATAGTTATTGTGATAGGTTGTACTGCAGGCTGTTGAGAATTGAGTGTCAACAAAACCGAATCCACCATGAAAATCTCGGTATCACACTTACTTGGATATCGCAGTTTGAAGTGATAAGTTGCGCATGCCCCATCTTCCAAAGTGAAAAGGATAACTTTCCGACCCTCCTTGGATTCAGGCCTGAGAATTTTATCCTCTGCGCTACAGCGAGGATTATTGCAATGTGTGATAGGAGGGTAAAGTGCTCGGGAAGCTGTTTGGATGTAACTCTATTTAGCAACCGCAAGACTGCACTCATTTCAGTATTTTGGCACATACCAAGACGATTTTTTATTCCATGCTTGTAGAATAAAAGTGAATCTGCCATAACCGAGTGACCTTTGGCATCATAACTCCAAATTGTTGTCTTAAATGCCCTCCAGCAACCCGTAATAAAGTCCTCACTCAAATCCACGGCGCTGCCCAAAAATGCGCGAATTGTTTGAGGGAGAGACAGTGGTGGGAGAGTTGGGTCATATGTAGGTTGTTGCGCATGAACGATATCTCGCTTTAGAGATGCAGCCAGTCGGATAAATCTCATAGTGGACTCCATTGTTAAGGCTTCAGGAAGGCCTGGTTGTTCCAAGAGAAGTTGGTGGATGTTCTGTATTGTAACATTCTCCATTTGGGTACGAATCATAAGGGTATAGTTATCGCGAGTTGAAGGATTGTAATTACTAACACCGCGCTGCTCGACGCGCATTGACGCGTCATCTAGAGGTCATGTGATGGTCACCTGACTCTACAAACTCCATGTGGACTCTATGGAGTTTTCGGAGAGTTTTCAAATCCCGTTTGCTCTCCTAAGTTCAGGGTAAAAGCCAATTTAAGCGCCATGTGAGACTTCGAAGATCCGGCGGGAAATTTGGGTTTACAGTGGAAGGCCTGGTTACTCCGAGAAGTTTGTCCTACAACTTCGCGATCACAAATTCGCTACCATTCTTCAGAACGCGACTGCGACTGCGTCATTTCAGATTCATCCTGAGCCGTGAATCGGGAAGTATAGCAACCGTCAGGGGAGGCCTTTTTCTTTTTTCAATAAATTGATGCGGCGTCGTTGATAGCGGCGATTCTGACTCGGTCCTACAGTGTTTTGCATGTGAGATTGGAATCCAAATCTTATGAAAACTTGTTTGTTCTTGTAATGTGTGACGTTGCCCTTCAGTGTCACAGCAAATTGATTCAACGTCGAACATTGACTCCCAACGTTGATCCAACGCTGAGTGCTGAGCGCACGAACTCTGAAGGCATGCCAACGGCCCCTCCACCACCCCACACCAAACACACACACACAGCTTTATGCCAGCCCGCCCTAATCTCACTCTGCTTCTCATGTGAAACAACAAGCCACAAAGGACCCAAGTGCCGTACATCGCAAGGTCGCTTTCCACCTGCGCGGACTAGAAAACTACCCGGATTTCAATTGCTCACGGAGAATGTACATCTTGAAGGTGTTTCATGGGGTTCACGTTCTCATACTAAAAGTCTCGTTCTAGATAGATTCGATTTACTCGGCAGTTGGAATAACTTGATTCATGGCTCGAGAACACTTCACGAGGCTCACCGGCTCAATCTAGTCTGCTTTAGGCCAAGGATTAGAATTGACGGCACTTGCAGGGCAGCGCAATATGTGGAAACCACCCGCTCGTCTCGCACTTGTTTTCGGGATTGGAAGCTAGAGCGCTACATTGAAATTCCTATATAGTAGGTGCCCTCTCTTGATCTACTCCAACTTGACTGTTCTCAGCCACAAACGCAGAAGACCATCAACCCCAACAAGCCATGTCCAACAAAGAGAATGCTGCACCTGTCGGCCCTCCTATCTCTCCGTTTGCTACCTCACCCCATCGCCCGTCGGAATTTTGGTTGAAGAACCCAGCTTGGATCGGTGAGGAACATTTTTATCTCTTTGACGTTATCCGCATTAATCACACTTCGTTTCAAATAGATGGTGCCATTGACCCTCCTCACTTCTATCATAGCCACGAGGAAATTGAAGCTGCTCTACGCGCAGCAGGTGTTTCTTCGAATGCATACGTGGATCAACAAGCTGCGCTTTCAACACCCACCCCGAACCATTATGCAAACATCAAGTCATGTGGCCAGGCTCTTGGGGAAGGAAGAGATGTCGTCAACCTCACAAGCAGCGCTAGTAAGTCCCCACAGTTTTATTACTATGACCACGCTTGTTAATGCTCTCAATCAGGCCCCGGCCATCTCATATCAGTTGGAATGGTCTACTCCCTCGTGGCGGCACCTGGTCCTGGTGGGCGTGCCTCAAAGGGACTTGTGAAGCAGAAGCCGAAGATGAAGATGACCAAGCTTGTCCTCGATAAAATCACTCACGCAGACTTCATCAAAGCCTTCCTCGCTACTCACAATTTGTCTGACAAGTACAGCCCCGGGGTCCACTCTGGACCTGACTTCAAATTGTGGTGGTCGGGCTCGCCGTACGTTCTTTTTCTCGTTCTAAAAGTTGTCTCCTCATTTATTTGCAGTGGTGCCAAATCCGGGGCAGCAACTATCCAGACGGACAACGAGTTCCATGTTGCACTAGAACATCTCCTCTCCAAACCTAAGGGCAAATGCATGGTATCAGTTGAGTTTGACCTCGATAATATGATGGGGTTCCGCATCCAGCAACCAGTAAGACACACCTTTCTTATCTTTGCGCGTCTTCTATCTTTCTGATATTGTTTCATCATTAGCTCCCCTCGGCCGCGGCGAACCCTAACACCGAGACTACGGATGGGGAGCTTGTATATGGAACCAAGGTAAGTCATGTGCTCGTTTCCAAACATTGAGTGCTCATGCGCTCATGGTTGATAGGTTCCTCAACTCGGTGGATTTAGCGAGGTGACGCAGCTGCATGGATCCATCATCATGGAGTTGAAGGCAACATGGCCTTGTTCAACGCACCTCAATGAACATGGCGGCGCCGGCTTCTGTTATGTCACAAACACATCCGAGCATGTCCTACTGAATGCCAGGAGGTTGAAGGCATGGGCAGCCGCTATCGTATGTTTGTTTCTCTATGAGATCTTTGCTTGCACTCAATGTATTCTTTCAGGCTGCACATGTTGCAACAAAACTTGTTCCCCCCAACATTTCCGAGTTCGATGGTAGTCGTGATGGACGTCTACCTGGACCTAGGCCTCGAGGCTGTGCAGGGCCAGGGCTATCCGCTGCCACTCCTAATCAGCAACTTGGCGATGTGATGCAAATCATATCGGGGCTGCTTCCTCTCCTTGGGGGGATGTCTCGAAAGCGTGCACGCTCTGAGTCATCATCTCCCATACGCCGCAACCCTGTCACTCCTGTTCGCAAGGCACCCATGTCCCCTCCCCTTTCTCCCATCCCCACGGCCAACTCTGAGCTTCGATCTTGCCTCAGTGACTTTGCTGAGGCCAAAGGCATTGATCTGACTGCGTGTGAAGAAGCTCTGACCGCCCTTGATCTCACCCCGGATATCATCCCTGATGTACCTGTCCAACGTCTATGTGATATTACTCATGCGACGGAAGGCCAGATCCTCAAACTCCATGTCTTTTGCCGCAGGTGGAATGCTCGTCTTGAGGAGAAGAAGGAAAAGCGGCGCCGCATTGATCTTTGATGCTCTATTTACATAAACAACACTGTTCCAATTGTATATATTGTATTCCGTTACAAGTAATAATTGTCAGAGAATGAATATCCACAGTTTTCGATCCACCCTTCTGCCATTTCCGGTGCAACAAAGAGTACAGCCTGTTGAATAAGCCAGGGTCTGACTTCAGCATTGATAGCATCAGCCTCATGGCGACGGAGCCATGCCTTAATAGTATGAAAAGCTTGTTCAATAGGATTGTAGTCGGGAGAGTAAGGTGGGAGATATACAAGTCTGGCACCTTCAGTGGATGAGTATTTATTTGAAGAGAAGAGCTACAAGACTGTAACTCACCACATTCATCCTCGATGATACGTCGGATTTCTTCATCATGATGTATCGCACAGTTGTCCACAACTACAACACTACGCGGTGCAGGAAATGGGTTTAGCTGTGGTGCCTAAAAGATAAATAAGTTGCAAAGGCAAAAGGAGAAGTGAAATGGCATACAAGTTGCTGATCAATAAATTGGATAAACTTTTCCTTGTTTACAGATCCCTCGAAGATGTCAAGGGCAATGATCCCTTTGTGTGTCAGGGCAGGCAAAACTGAAAACCGCTGCCCACGAATGAATGTTGCACGAGAGATGCATGCCCTCCCAACAGCCGCCCAACCATCTCTACGTTGGTTTGTTTGGTCATCAACGCTAGCTTCATCCAGCCAGACAAAATACTCCGCAGGGATGTCGCCATATTCAGCTTGCCAAGTTGCACGCAAGAGCTCATTCCGCTCAAGGGCTTCATGTGAGACCTTCTTTCGGCTGATTGCAAGCTGCTGAAGAGCACGAGAAATGGTAGAGATTGAAACTTCAATGTTTCGGTGGAGGAGAAGCTCTTGCTGAAGTTCATCAAGATAGATTTTGGGACGAGCATCTATGATAGAGGCTAGATAGTTCACATCCCCCATGTCAAGGGTGCGTACACCCCCACGTGGACCCGCAAATGGATTGTCAACAGTCCCGTAATCCCGATGAAACTTCAAGACATTGTAGACCGTAGCAAGGCTGCAGCCAGCCAGAGTCTGAATATCAGAAGCAGAGATATGTTGCTCGTGATGCCAAACTATAATGCGTTGTCTCATTTCGTTTGAAAGCGTTGGAGCCATTATTGCGAAGGTACGTAGGACTACACAATTTCCAGATCTGAACCCTTCAGCGTGACATCAGTCACAGATCACAAGAACAAACAAGTTTTCGTGAGATTTGGATTCCAATCTCACATGCAAAACACTGTAAGGTTGTCGATAGTGGGTCGTGGAAAGAGTAGTGACGAAGCCAAACTTTGATCAACATGTTTTGATCGACGTCAACGTTGTCCTCGACCATCATTATTGTCCGACAACGCTAGATTGCTGTTCCGTTCAACTCTATCTCGCTGGTGGTGAGTCTTCTAACCCTCTCATTCTCGGCATAGCTAACGAATATTTTCAGCTCGCCGACTAGAATCATATCAAGGTGGATCATTCCACAATCCTCGCCCTGTCTGTCGCTCAAGCATTTTAGGATATGCGTCTCTTGGACGCAGTTTTTCGGTTTCGGGGTGATTCTACGACCACCCAAGCAACTTCAACAACTGCTTGGGGGCGAATAGCGATGGGGAGACCTTAGAAGTGGTGTAAAGGAAATCATAGTCATGCATGCGGAACTTACTGTGGTAAATCTTGCAGGTGCGGACTCTCATTCTTTGAGCCACCATTCCCGCTCATCTTCTTCTTCGGAAAGACTGTTGGTTCTGTCCTCGCCGGTTAGATCATCGTCAGCGCCATCTACCCACCCCATCCCCACCCCCTCCGTGATCTGTCATGGCTTACTTTTCGTTATCAGTACGATCATGGCTTCCCACCCATTTTTGATGATGAGATAATCGACTGGCTGCTCGAGTCGGACCTAGTGTTGCCGAAGTTCAGTTCAGTCCGGTTCAGACCCCCTTTGGTCCGAACCTGAACCTGAACCTCCTACAAATTTTCCGAGCCTGAACCGAACCTGAACTGTGCGTTCGGTTCAGGTTCGAACCTTCTGAACCTTGTAATTTTTTTAAATCAATTTTTTTGCCTTTTTTTCGTGTCCAAATGCTTCGAAACTCATGTGTAATCTCTAAAAATCAGTTATTTATGCAATGCCGTGGCACAAACCATGTTTGATAAGCCAAATAGATATTATACAACAGACCCCAACAAGTGCACGTGTGGGAAAGCGACCTAAAATATGGCCATCAACCATTACCCAGATGAAGGATTGATACTTTAAGTTTAAATACTGTAGTTGTTACAGATCACAATAGTTTTGAACAAAAAATTGCAAAAAAAATGTCCAAAACAGAGGGAAAGTAGGCCCCCCAGTGGCTAAAGGTTCAGAGGTTCGGTTCAGTCCGAACCTGTTCTCCAGAAATTTTCTGGAGCCCGAACCTGAACCTGAACTCGAACCGAACTTTGTGTTCGGTTCAGAGGGTTCGGGTTCGAACCGAAGTTCTGGACTGAACTTCGGCAACGCTATGCTCGACCCAGGCTTGAACCTTGAAAATTCCCATTTTTAAACCATGCCGAGACCTGGTTCAATTGGAATTGGTACGTTTATTCGCCCCTGTGTTTTTCAATCAGTTCAACGTTTCTCTCAGGTCTAAGCTGATGTTTGTCGTGACAATCTGACGTTATTTCGGACTGTTACTTGTGTGCGGTGTCCTAGCTGCCTTTCATCTTGATTCTTCGTTGTAAGCTCAATTCCACTCATTCGCTGCCTCTCTATTGAGCATGTCATTCAGCGCAAGAAGCCAATCGCTCCTCTCCCACTTGTGTAAATTATTCAAGTTGTAGGAGGACCACAGGATAAACGACAGCATGACCCTTCATCAGAGCTCATCGGTGCTCGTTAAACAGACTCCGGAGCCCCCAGGCTCCTCACAGGCTCAAGGTACATAAAAAGTCCGTTCCGATGTCAACTTGAATGAACTTCTGTTGTCAGCTGCACAGTTTCGGCAAACCGACTGCGATTTCAACACTATCACGAACGCTAGGCTATCGTTCTTTCGTCGCGAGTGAGAGCCGCAATTGGCCCGTAAAACTACTCCCTTGCACTCACAGAAGTTTTCGTGAGTCTGGATGGTTCTAACGTACGCCTTGCTGACAACCCGTTTCTGTCCGCCAGTTTGAGGATGTTAGTCTCCCAGCTTCAAGACTGTAGCGTTTAACGTCCACACAACGTAATTTATTTATCTCTACCAACACCACCTCACGCCCGTCATTCTCAGAAACTAAGATAAGGTATCGTGATAGATTTCATTCGCTCCAAAAATCGGACATCGCCCAGAAACAAAACCGTAGTCAGAGTGTATCATAATCTCCATCGTTTTTGCAATCGGTTTTTCGGTTGGCTAGCATCCAGGTCGACGTGTAGGTCTGTAAGACCATCAGTACACGATGATTGAGGCCTTTTTATGTATTGTCGAATATGGAGCACGACCCTACTCGTCAACAGTGCATGGAGTACGCGTTCCACACTTGACTTGATCAGTCATTTTGCACGTAGAGGCAGAACATAAACGTACTTAGAAATAACGGCGAGATAGTCTCTCTGCACAAGATAAGTGGTTAGTTTGGTTCACGCAAATGCACTGTACCGGCTCACAGAGAGTGTACACACGACTACGACGTTGACTATTGAAAGGGCTTTTGCTGCTTTAGCACATAATGAATGTGTCGTGCCGACCATGCCAGCTTACCAACAAGGTAGATATACATTATTATTCCTATGTTTGAACGCGATTTAGGTGCATCTCTCTGGGTGGAGTTTAGTATCTTACCTTCGCTATATATGACGTGATGCAGATCAGCATTCCCTCCTCTCCGATCTGAGAGGGCAGCTTATGAGCAAGCGGAAAACTAGATAATGTATGGGTCTTACAGGAAGCAATTCCAGGAATTATCATCAAGACCAGTATTACTGGGAGACAATTAGTTGCGGATGCTGTACACCAATGTAGAAATGAATGCTTACCAGCTTCGTAAATCATGAATACAACCCAATTCACGTACACGATGTGATTTGCACTGGTGAAAAAGCAACCGACAAATTCTGGGTATGGCTTTATACTAACTGAACATGGGGTGTCAGTTGCGGTGGGATGATGGTTCAGTATGACAGATGGTGGACAAACATTGCAGGTCGCGAAGGAAGATTCCCGTCACATATATCTCCGCCACGGTTGCAAGCGTAATTAGGGATATCAGAAAGACACCCATGTGCCGATCTCGTTTCCATACTGCCCATACGCGCAGAGTCAAGATTGCTAGGAACAGCCATCATCAGGGACATGGATGGTATACTATAATAAAATAAGGAGAATTCGCACATTCGGACAATATCCAGCCAAAAATCATCAACCCTATGATACGATGAGCCAAACGAACACGTTTTAAAGAGAATGCGCACATCCTCGTATCGTATCAACAATATGGCAGCCACCTGGGTCGATATTTACCGCCAATTGGGCTAGAAGAGAAAATAGTGAAATATTGTAGAGAGAGGGAGGTATTTCATGTACTCACGAGGCAGCCAGAGAAAAATCGCGTCACAGAAAGGCAAATATCGCTGAACGATATAAAGCCCTGTCATAAACCCCCATGGCGATGACCACACAAACTCAATCTCCATCCCCAACGTCAGTGAGCAGTCGTATACCAATAGCATCGCCGCTGCAACTGCGTGGAAGAATCATCAGCTTTAGATGCTTGAAATCGTCGTAGGCGGCTTACCATCGAACGACTGTTTTTTTTGTCGTTAGAGGGGAAGGAGGACTTGATAGACAGTACATACGCACCCTAGCAAGCTGTTCTGCAGCCACATAATTAATGAACTGAGCGGGCGCCGCCATGTCTAAGGTGATGTAGAATTGGGAGCGCGAAGGCGGAGAACAGGTTCTGCTCAGTTGATATATGTAGCTTGTCAGAAGAAGTGGTTACCGGAATCAAAACTGCAAACATTGTCGTGGGTCCATTATTTTTAAACCTGGGAGAAGCTATCAAGGGCCGAGGTACCAATCCCAGTGCCAATCCCAGTCTCAATCATCATGTTCAGTGATGTTACCACCCCTAGACCTTAAAAATCAATTCTACATAATTTGATTGTAATTTGACTCGTGAAATGGGGAGAAACATGGTTCTGTTTCTTTGGCAAAAACCGATGCAATGAGAGATGATACGCGCTGAAGCTGCTGAGCCTCTGCATGCCGATCCAGGACCATGGTAGCAGACAGTAAAGGCTGAAATCGGAGGAGTTTAGGATCAAATTGTTCAAGGGCGAGTGTACGACAAGGGATCGCCGAGTTTGCTCCGGTCCACTTGAGGTACACACATCTCCCCCTTCGAAAGACTCCGACCCGCTCCAATTCACCTCGCGGCACCACTGGTGTCATCCGGGAATAATTGAATGGAGAATTGTAACGCAGGCGGCAGCGCCTGCGTCGTTCAATCGCCCTTGTTTGATTCGAGTGCAGGGTCAGCACTGTCTCCTTGAAAGATGACCGGAAAAAAGTACAGATCAGAGGCGTCTTGTAAATAATTCTCCAGTTGTACGTATGTACCTTTTTGTGTGAGGGAAAAAATTTCCACCTCTGTCATGCATCCTAGTCGTCCCTCGCATTCCTTCCCGCCCCTCTCCCTAGTTTCCTCCTCCCTAATCCGCACGAGCGCAAGTGGTATTTCATATGCTGTAGGAGGACAAGGACCCACTGCGGCAGACGACGAACGACGGGGGCCGCAAGGATAAGCTTTGTTTCCCGCACCATGGGCCTTGCCGCATTACGGATCCTGCAGAAGGCCAACCGATCAACTCGTCGTCGTGACGGAGCGCTCATGTGGTGCCAAACGCAAGAAACTCCGGTGGTGCACAGATGTCTCGTTCTACTTCCAACATTTGATACTTCGATGGGCTTCCGTCGGCGATCGTAGCTTGTGACGGTTTTTGACGGTCCAAAATTCGACACAGGCCTAACAGCACATGGAGTATTACCATTGTTGTCGTTAGGGCGAGCCGTTGTTGGAGCGGCGGAGTGCTGAGATCTAAGTGTGGCGACCAAAGGACAGCATCGTCCCAAAGCAAGGGGCAGCTGATCACAGTTGGTATGGGTGAGTGAACGACCTTCTGGTAAGGGTGCTTTGAAAAGGGAAGCATCAGCCGAACCATGGATGCTCACATGTTAAACATTCACCGTTGCACGACTACCCTCCCCTCTGCGCCGTGAATACCTACGCTCCATCGTTTGTCGTCCTGAACGCGTTGTTAGAGGGGGTTTTCCGGTCCAAGAATGTCCCCAAAACGCCTGCGTTGAGTTCAAGCACGCGAGGCGAACTGTAGGATGGATGATCAGAAGATGGGCCCTTTGATGAAAGAGGACACGTACCGTAAACTTCAGCGACAAGACGGTCGCATACGCAGCTGTCATAACCAAACTCCCTCTCCGTTTGTCATCCATCTCGCATTTCACCTGAAAGGTGGTTGACGCGGGTTTCCAAATCATCCGCAGACGAGGATTGCGGCGGAAACGTTCTCGGGACGCAAGGAAACCGACATGGCCTCACTGACGGAGAGAGACGAGGGTTGTAAGCGAAAAAGCAGTTGAGTGAACCAGAATAGCTAAAAGTAGATACGGCGCTGCCGACTCTTTTCCCTGTGTTCCCTATGCAGCGGCCTTTTCAAAACCTTCACTGTTCCCAAAGAATGCGACGTAAGTCCCTGTTCCAAAAGAGTCAGGATCTGAACAAGATGCACCCACAATTGAACTAGCCTTGGAAGGAGAAACACGCCGTCCCCGTCCCATTACCGCCGATAGGATAGACGCAGGAGCCATTGCACGGAGCTCTGTTCGTGTTTGCGGCTATTTATTTCAAATAAACCAACCCTCGGCTTTTCCCTCAAACCGACTTCGTGCATCACCTCGTCCAAGCCTCGTCATCCACTTCAACCTCCATACGTTTCTCCAAGTTGGGATCCGATGTAGATCATTTCTTTGCACATGCTATTGCAGACGACTGATAGGACGGATGATAGGAATCACACGGTCTTCTAGTGACGCCGAAGCGTGGCCAAACTTGGTCATTTCTGCACATAGGCGATTGACCCTTACCTTGAGCAAAAACTCTCGAGAGGTGGTGGATAAAATGTTGAAGCAAACTGCGATTGGCACGTGGGTGGACTCTTATTGCTCGCATTCCCCTGCTCAACGCCCACGCCTTTGTAGGTCGGATAATACTCGGATTGTTGCCACAACATCAAGCACCATGACACCCGGAATGCCTCTCCAAGACAAAGAATCAAAGGGCCGATAAGATTCGCTGATCTTTGCTAAGCCGAGCAGGGCCAGTATTTTTGCCCACAAACCTCGGTCAATGCTGCCCTCCACCTGCCACGACCAACGATGTCCCAAACCTACATCGACGACCAAGACCCCACGAGAGTGACGTATAAGGGCTCGTGGACTCGGGGGGGAACCGCTGCAGAGTACAACAACACCGTTAGTAGCTCGACTGTTGTTGGCGACTCTTTCACAGTCTCCTTTCAAGGTGAGTGCGTTGGTGAACACGCCCTTGAATAACGCTGACCCATTTTGCGTGAAGGTAACTCAATTACCGTGTATGGCACCATAGACGCTACATCAGGAGGCGTGACGACCAATTATTTCATCGACGGCGGCGCCGTCAGCCAAGCCGTATCACTAGCGGGCTCTAATGATACTTACAAACAACAATTTTGGCAGTCGGATACTCTTCAGTCTGGCGCGCAGTGAGTATATGATCTCCTGCACCCTCCCAGGTTGACTTGAGGCTGACTGAAACCAGTACACTCAACGTCACGATGGTAAAGGTGAATGCGGAATCTCAATCTGGAGAGGGGACTGTGTGGTTCGATTACTTCGTTGCGAACTCGACTGGATCCTCGTCGACGAGCTTGACAACTTCGACATCTACAACCTCCGCGTCCTCAATAACGAACTCGGACTCAGCGACGCCGACGCCGACGCCGACGGGTAAAAAGAGCAACCTGGGGGGAATTCTGGGTGGCGTTATCGGAGGGGTGGTTTTGTTTCTCATTTTTTTACTGTGTTTATGGAGATACCGGAGGCGAAGGAACAATTCTGGAAAGGTTGCGCAATTCAAACCAGACATCGATCCTGACCCCTCATCTCGTGAGTCTCCTCTTTTTTTCTACCGGAGTCTCCGCAATTTACATTTCCGCATCGCAGCAACAAGCGCAGACTATATCTCACCATTCGACACCAACTCAGCGAACATCGACCCATTCCCTTTGGGCTACAGAGGTATCGGCTCGATCGACAATTCAAGCAGGCTCTCCTCGAGCAGCTGGGCACCTGCCCTGCAGCAAAAATCTTCCCTTCATCACGCCACGAACTCAATGAGCACCTCCAGCCATGGAAACTTTAGCGTGGACCCATCTGGGTTCGCTGAATCTCTCGCGGGGTCTAGTGGTATCGGCCGGCCAACGTCCGCTGGTGCGAGCTCAAAGTCACGGCATTTGCTGCGCCAGCCGTCGGAGGTTACTGTCTCGACCTTTTTACCTCCAGTGCAGCACGTTGATAGTGGCATGCGTTCGATTGATATGGAGATGCTTACAAGTCCTCCCGAACTTCCACCTGTTTATAGTCCGGTGTAGTTGTTCAATTTTTACAAGTCGTGCTATTGGACACTTTTCAGATTTTTCACCGTACAATTTTATCTTGTCGGCTTGGAAGATGTTTGACGGGTTCTCACACGCGCTAAATTTAAAGCGTGCGCCATGCGAAGCGTGGACGGGACATCATCGTTAAATTTAGCGAATTGACACGCTGTTTTCAACCTCAGGGCTGTCCCGTCCCGTAGACGGTTTCTCCATAACAAAGAACTGGAAGCTTCAATAAAATCAGATGGATTTTCAAACAGCGTGTTCGCTAATTAAAGCGTAGTTTTGACTTGTGATCACAGACGTGCTATAAACAGAAGAAAGAAAGAAGGGACATATTCCCCAAGGTGAGGCCTCGGAGAAACCTTAACTCATCAACGAACTGTATTTTAGTGAAATCTGATCGCCCCAACTAACCTTTTGTGTGCACACCTACAGGTAAAATATATATTCCACCAAAAACTTGGTCTCCCATGGCCAAAATCGAACGCGAAACACGGTCGATCTCCCATGTAGTGGTAGATAGACTTTTCACCGTCCAACCCCTGGATGTCGCGTTAATGTTTTGGAGGACAAACGTAACGCGCGGTTGGTACGTTCGATAGTACGTGTTACGAGAATTACCTCTTACTTACCTGCCCCTTCCCTCTCAGGCTGCCAAAGAAGCATGTACAATAAAAGACGAATATCACTACTGTGCCTTCCTCTGAATTCTTCGAGTTCAGTGTGCGACCCACCCGTTATATGCGCACGCAAGGTAAAATTGATAAATTGCACGCTGCTTTAATCCACTTTTTAAGCTCTTCAGCATCCGAAAAAAAGGCTTTTGTGAACTACAAACGGAGGATGAAGAGCACCGACATACGTATGAATGAGCAACATACGCCTCTGGCCCTCTCAGGGCCCAGGCTTGCGAACGCGCTCAAAACGCGCTGTGACGCGTTGACGTTTCATCTTCCTGCTTCCTTTCTTTCTTTTTTTTTTCTTTCTTTTTTGAATCTTCAACGAGGATTGATTGTATGAAATGATATACGTTTTCATGAGAAATAAACTTATGGGTCGTAACCAGCCTTTTCCTGTTCAACTTTTCCGTGCTTTTTGCCTTATTTAGAGGTTGAAATCATAGAGCAAAACGAAGATCGCGCATGGAATACATGCTAGTAGAAACAGGCTTGAAACATGCACTTCCAATTCCAGGAATGAACATTGGAAACGTATGTCCTTTGCTAGTCATGGGGGTTCAAACCGCCAAAGTAGACTAGACCTGTTGCGTGCTTCAGAGACGGGAGTTAAAGGGGTAGGACATGCGTCCCAAGTTGCCTGGTGCCAATGCGTAAAAGTTACACAGGAGACAACAACTCTAGAGTCTACGACGTACGTGCATGCATGCGGGTAAGCTTCAAAGATCCTTGTACATATCTATTAGACCTGTTCATGTCTTTATATATATACCTCTTTGCAAGAAAAAAATTGACGCGTGCATCCTTAGTGCAACTGAGAGGGGATCGAACCCCCGGCGGGTCGATCCGATTTTATAACAACCCTTGGCCAGGTTACCCGTACCCATCAATGCGCTGTAGGAGAATCCCTTTTTCAACTATGTACATACATCTGCGCAGGGGATGCGTCCCAATTTGCCATAACGTGAACATGAACATCTAAGGAGTGCTGTCCAAGTTACATACTTTAAATTAATGAGCGCAGGACTACTTATGACAGCTGAATGCAAAACTCTAGACACCTCCAAGAAATTTCTTCACTCCGCCTGGCTTTGTGCAAACAACCATTTGAGGAAGGAAGCGGGCATGAATGACGCAAGTCCTACACCAACTTAGGGTGTATGTAATGTAATGGAGTGCTCCACACTCCAATCAAGGTTACAATGGTACGGACTTGTGCTAAATGCGGTTGTTTGCACAAAGCGAGGCGGACACCAGAAATTTTCAGAAGGTGTCTAGGGTTTTGCATTTAGCTGGAATAGGAGGTAAATTATACTTTATAGATCCGAGTACATATCTGAGCTGGCCATATATCTAAGTCTAAGTCTGAAGCTAGTTAACGGAGGATAACGATAACCATGCGCGTGATAACGTTAAAGGTCTAGATTCTAAAAAAAGCCGCCAAACGCCTAGCTCCCGAAATAAATCTAAACAGAATAAAAAATATCAACCCTAACCGTGTAGATACAATTCACCCATCCTCTATACTATCCATTAATTCCACCGTCAGCTTTCGTTTTCTCGGTACAGAAGAAGAAAGAAGAGACGTACGAGATCTCGACACATAACGCCGACTTTATCCCCACTTTTCAATGAATCGACGAACCCTCCGCCGCTGTCGTCCGAGTCCCAAGTGATGTCATATACGCGCTCGGAAGTCATGGATTTGTTACTTTGGATGAACCACCTTTCTGGGTGTTTGGGGGTGAACGGGGTGGGGGACGTTTCTGGGTATTGATATTCCAGGTTTGGGAAGGAGGGGAGAGGGGAAGAGGGAGAGGGAGGGAGGATGGTAGCTTCGAGCCAGGAGTTTGCGCCTGTTGATTCGCCTGTAAAGTAAAGTTTGAGTAAGAAACGGAAGAAGCGAAAAGGAAAGGAACGTACCCTCGCAACCCCCCTCAGGCGTCTCATAAAACACTTCAACGCTGAACTTGACCCTCTGCACTTTCACATACGTTTCATCTAACCTCGGTACGGCGGGTGAGATAAGGTAACACCACCCGTCTTTCCCGTCCTCCCTCTCCTCCAAATCGTTTTTGGTGTGGGAAGGAACGGAAACGAGAGCGGGCCCGGAAAATGCGTCGCGAGAAGAAGTGAGGGCTGGCCAGTACTCTGCGTCGTTTATGATGATGTTTGCGAGTTCGAGGGGGACGAAGTGGAGGAGTGTTTGGCGAAGGGAGAGGACGTCGGTTGGGGTTGGTGTGTAGGTGGGTGGAGTGCTAGGGGTTTATCAGTATCGTGCGTTAGCTAGAGAAAAAGAACGAAGAAAGACCTTGAAGACATGGATGTGAACCGGGGTAGGAGTGAGAGTGTCGGTTGGGAAGCCAACGGGATCCCCTTTTATATCCACCCACCCACTCCATCCCGTCAGTTTGGAGTGTCCAACCTTTTGATTTTGGGGAGCGCATATAATTTCACCCTGGAATGGATTACGCCTGATTGAGCGTCGGATGAATGGTGCTGAGGAAGAGGGACATTGCAACGAAACGAACCCTTGATCTTCATTGTTTCGCTCACTAAGTATGCCTGCGGGTGATAGACTGAAAATTTTTTGGGGAGGGGTCATGTAACCGGTTTACCCAGGTGAACGGCGTAAGGTTTAGGGTCGCCTCGTGGCAAAGCCCGTTCGAGCTGTCGGGCGCAGTGGAGCGTTGACGTCATTCTATGGTATGGAAGCGGTGTTGAAGCAGTGACCGAAAGTGGCGCAGCGGGGACATCGGAAGTCGGACTGCGGACGCGGAACGAGCGCAGAATCATATGTAAGCAAAAGTGCCTTTGTTCTCCCTCTCCACTTACGAACGATGTTCAAGAAAATCGCACACAACTCGACTATCCCAGCGTTGGGCGGAAACACGGAATTAAGGCCTTTACAAGATCTGATAACTGCTGAAAAAGCAGTTCTTATCTTGTATTCGTTCTACCCTCCTTATCTCGCTATGCTATTATGCTGACCAGGGTATAGGTTACAAAAGCTTTCCGTAGACTATTCGAAAGCCGCTGAAGCTTTACGCGTCTGGGGGACAAGTGAGGGTGACGATCTCGGTGTACGCCTTTCCTCTTTCTCTTTCACTCAACGACTAATGATAAGACGACGCAGGACATCCTATCAGCATCAACAACCCTCCTATCCCACTTCTCCACCGCCCTAGTGCACTACAGCACCCACGCGCACACTTTAATCCGAGACAACCTCAAAGCCATCCGAACGCGCGAAGAGTCCCTCGAAGACCTCAAACGCCGTCGACGAACCGTCCACCGTAAAGCAGACGACGCGGAGAAGAAGCTGGGAAAGATGGGGTCGGAGCATAAGCACTTACAAGTGCAGAACGAGTTATTGAACAGGTTGAATGCGGAGATTAGGGCTATGGATGGGGAGATTATGAGTGAGGAAACGGGGTTGGGTGATTTTAAGAGGAGTACGGTTAGGGTTGTTATGGGGTTGAAGTTTGGGGGGTTGGTTGAGTGTTGTGAGAAGGGTGTTGTACGTCTCTTTCTTTCTCGCTTTCCTCTATCGTCGTTGGTTGACGATGGATGTGATAGATTGTAGGTGAATATGGGAAACTAGTAACCGCCGTACGTCCCCCTCGCCTTTCTCTTCCCTCCCCTCACTCACAACAACTACACAGGAAATTCCAGAAGAGACAACTCAACCAGGCACACCACGAAGCCTATACTACGGACACGCAAAAACCGAATCACTACTCGTAGAAGCCACCCGCGCACTCTCCGACGTTCAACTATCCACGGTCCCAGGGTCGCTAACGCAGCCTCGTCATCGGTTCGACGCCAAGCTTCCCAGCTTACCCACGGACGACGCCGATGACGTTGGGAGTAACAGCAACGTGTGGGCACCTGAAGATTCGTCGAGTTACGTCCCTCCGATAATGACGACAACTGGCGCTGGGGGGTCGTTCTTCCCCTCTCAATCACAACCCTCTTCCCCCTTCTCTCACGCCCCACCACACCAAGGGACAGTAGACGATTTCGGCGTCCTCCCCCCACGCTCGTCGATCGATACAGGAGGGGGTGGGAGGTTCGCTACGTTCCCCGTAAAGACTCGTGATAGGGAGGGCGGTGGTGGTGGTGTGGGATATACACTACGTGACGACCCTATATCTCCCAGCTCAATGTCGAGATCACTCAACAACACTACAACAACGGAGCCACCCTCGCTCACCACGAACACGCGACACGAACTCGGCGTGTCATTCTCGATGTCTGTAGCTGAGGCGTTGGGGAGTGGTGGGGTTGATGAGCAGCCGTGGGCACGGACCATGAGTGAGGGTGAGCCAACGTCGGCGATACAGCCTTTACCGCCTGGCGCTGCGCCCGCCTCTGTTCCGGAGGGTGTCAACCCTTGGAGTTTGGGGGTGGGAGGACAGACGCTCAGTCCGTCTGGAACACAAGCGCATGTGGGGAGACAAGGAAGACACGTATCGAACCATTCGATCGTGTCTGATGATGATGATGCGCTGTTGGCGTATATGTTGAATGCGGACGCTGATGCTGATGCGGATGATCGGGAGGGTTTGGGTGGGGGAGGGCGTTCGTTGACAGCTGCTCAGCCCACACCTTCGACGACGCAGGGAACCAACGCATTGACGGAGGGCGGGGAGAGGGAGCGGGAACCGAGCAGGCACGTTAGGTTCGGTGGTGGGACTGGTCATGAGCCTGGTGAAGCGGAGGAGTGGAGGCGGTCGTTGGAGGAGAGAAGGTCGGATGCGAGTCCGCTACGGCAGGGTGAGGTGGATCATGATAAAGGTGAGTCTCGTTTCGTTTCGTTAGTTCGAGTCGTCAGTTGGCTGATTGGGGGTATTTGGTAGGTCTACCAGCTGAGACGACTAATGCAGCTCTCCCAATGTCTCCTCCACCCTCGACTATCAACACCGACGCCTCTTCTTCTCTCAACCAAGGCAAACGTATCCCTCCGCCCTCTCTCAACCCACAGGAAGAAACACAAGGGGGAGGGGAAGACGAGAGAGCGTTGAACGCAGCTGTTGCGAGAGAGATAAGTCGGGAGATGGATCAATTGGCGTTTAACCCCCCTTCGGCTTCCGTGGCGAGCACTCTGGATCCTGAGGGCGAACATGAACGTGGTCGACCGCCTTTCCTTGGTGGTGGTGTGAATCAACAACAACCGAGCAGAGAACCATCCCCTCTCTTACCGCCTTCTGCGCCTTTTGCGAAACGCGCTGTGTCGCCTCATCCGTTTGCGGAGCTGAATCCGGGGGGAGGAGGAGGAGGGTATTCGCAGACGCAGACGCCGGCACAGTCGTATGTCCAATCGTATCAAGCCCAACAACAACAACCATACCCTTCGTACACCCAACAACAGCAAGCACCAACAAGTCCAGCACAGGCGTACGCGCAGGCGTATCAGACCCAGGCACCCCCAAACGCTTCCTCCTCCTCATCACCCTCTTCAACAGCACAGTATACGACGTCGAATCCATTCGATAACCCACACGTACACGAAAACAACAACAATACCCTGGCGTACCCCTCACGCACGAATTCGAATTTACCACCGAGATTACAAGCTCTCAGTCAGCAGTCTCAACAACAACAACAATCTGCTGGGGGAGGGGCAGGGGGAGATGCAGCGGTGGTGGTTCCACCACGATTCCAGTCGTCGAGGTCGAATTCGCCTGTTCCGCCTAGGTTCCAGCAGGTTCCGTCATCTGGAGACCATCCTTCGTCACCGCTCTCGGATGCGTCGTATCGCACACCAGGGGAATATCCGCGTACATTGGGCAGTACCCCTTCTTTGGTTGGAGGTGCCGCTGCTGGTGGGGCGAGGACGATATCAGCAGCGGCTTTCAAAAGACCCATACCCCACAAATCGACAAGCTATGATTCATTGGGGGGCACGGGGGGGACGGCGCCATTGAGTGTGTCGATGAAGAAACCGTTACCGTTACCTGCACCTTCATCGCTTTATCCCGCACAACAACAGCAGCGAGGACATCAGAGGGAGGTGTCGGCGGATGATGAGTATGATTATATTGGTGCGTATATGGGGAGTGATTCAGGGAGTCCTGTGGTGGCTGAGTATGCAGGAGCAGGAGGAGGAGGGGGAGGGGGAGGAAGAGGAGGGCAGGGTGGGTATGGAGAAGGGAAGTTTGCGACTGATTTGGAGGGGCTGAGGTAAACCTCGGGATATTTTGATATTGTTCTTGTATGATTTTATTTTTTCATATGACTGTCTATATCGTCTACTTCAGATTGTACTTGGATGCTTGTATGATGTACTTCATCAGGAGCGTTGTGTCCAGAACAGTAGAAGTGGAAGCAGACCTTTTGCTGAAATTCCGGCACTTGGTTGCATGTGGGGGTATGTTTCAGTTAAATATGGTAAAAGTGATATCCTGTGCCAACCTTTGAGATATGTGTTAAAAATTCAGAACTTGTTCATACATATGTACATATTCACAATCAAGCTCATCTGTAC